TATTCTTCATTTGTGATTCTTAAAATTTTTCCTTCTATCAATTGCATAAGTTGTCAATTGTTTATAAAGTCTTATTTCTTTAATCATACATTTGATATAAGTAGCAGGTATTCTAAATTTAAAAATTAGTTTTTAGCTCAAAATAATTTCTTAATTGAAATAATTGTTATATTAAGTTATCTAAGTACTATTTCTGAGTTTGTAATCAGAAAAACGTTTGATAGTGTGTCCAGCTCGTTCAGCTGATTTAGATGTTTTCCATTGTTAAATATCTTGTGCACAGGAATCATGCATTTCTCCCATTGTGCTCCACACTCCAAGTTGTTATAATTCCCAGATCTATTTCGTATCGCAGAGTGGATGGAAAGACACTTCAGGGACACATGAGTGGATGGTTTTGCTTATTTTTGTATCCTATACATGGAGAGAGGCATACGAATCAATGTTAGAGATTAGGGCTCTTGATAAGGCCTCGATCTGGATCTCCAGATCGATTGCCCGCGCGGCAAAATCCCCCGCATTTCCAATGTCCCCAAGTGACTAGAATTCTCAGCTCCATGGCCAGGCATTCTAGCTAAGTTATGAGCGGCAATACTTCCACCAATTTCGCCTCTCTTTCACCTCCGCGGGCTCGATCCTCTTCTGGCACTGCCGACGATCTCGCCCGGAGGATCCGTGCCAGCGGCGAGTCCAAGCATCTGGCTGAGGCAAACCGACTGGACGCCGAGATCGCAGTAAGCAGCGAGCATCGCCGGGACAGATATCTCGCCAATCTACTGATCGAGGCGTTTGGAAAATGCGAGTGCCTGGCATCCGCGCGGAGGGTCTTTGACTCGATCGATGAGCCAAACATCTTCTCATGGAGCATCATCATCTCCGCCTATGCCCAGAATGGGCAAGTGGAGATTGCGAGGGACTTGTACGAAGGAATGCCTACTAAGAATGTGATCTCCGGGAACGCGCTCATAGCGGCATATGCCCAGAGCGGGAATATCCAGGCCGCCACGTCGATGTTTCGAGTGATGACTCAGCGCGACATTGTGACGTGGAATACCCTGCTGGCCGCATATTCCCAGCAGGGGCATCTGGCAGATGCGAAGAGAACCTTTGGTTCTATGCCCGAGAGAGATGTAGTATCGTGGACGACAATGCTGGGAGTCTACTGTCAAGATGGGAATCTTGAGGGATCCGAGAGAATCTTTCGCTTGATGCCTGAAAAGAATATTGCGTCGTGGAACGCGCTCATGGCCGCATATACCCAAAACAGGCATCTTGATGGTGCTAAAGAGACGTTTGCTTTGATGCCTTACAGGAATCTCGTTTCGTGGACGACGCTAATGGAGGCTTATGCAAAATCCGGGAATCTTTCAGATGCCAAGGAGACGTTCGACCAGATGCCGGAAAGGAATCTTGTGTCGTGGACAGTCATCCTGCTAGCATATGCCCAGCTTGGGCATATGGACAATGTCCGCGAGATGCTGGATGAGATTCCCCAGACGGACTCGGTGCTTCTGACTGCCATGATCACGTCATTTGCCCGCAGTGGACATCTGATGGAATCCAAAGACATCTTCTTCGGCAGGATGAAAGGGTGCAAGAGCCTCGTCTCGTGGAACGCAATGCTGGACGCGTACGCGCTGAACGCGTGCTACGAGCAAGCGCTGAAGCTGCTCGAGTTCATGAGCTGGGAGGGCGTCCGGCCCGACGCCTTCACCTTCGTCACCATTCTCACGGCGTCGAGCCACCTGGGCGAGATCGAGAGGTGCAGAGAGGCTTTCGTCTCCATGGCGCAGGATCACGGGATGACCCCGGAGCTGGAGCATTACAGCTGCATGATCGACATTCTTGGGCGCGGTGGGCGACTTGACAAAGCCGAGGATCTCATCCGAAACATGCCGTTTCAGCCCGAGCCGGTCCTGTGGCTCACTCTGCTGGCTGCGTGTAAGATGCACGGGGACTTGGATCGAGCAGCTCGCATTGGAGAGGAGGTGTCGAGGCTGGATCCTCAGCGCGGATCTACGTATCTGCTGCTTTCAAGTGCCTTTCAAAAAGATAGTTGTTCCACATAAAACTCAAGAGTGTCTTGCTGCTACTATCAAGTTGCCACTATACTTATAAATGGATAGATGAAAAGATGCAAGACTTTAAAAAGAGAGTATCTAAGCTTTGATGATCTCAGGTCATATGGTGCTGCATTGCAACAGGTGATTCATTCCAAAGACCTCTGTCGAGCAAAATCAATTCATGCAACGCTTAAGGACAAGCAGCAAGATGGAAACACATTCCTTGGGAATCTCCTGGTGCAAATGTACGGAAGCTGCGGCAGCATTAAGGAATCGAGGCTGGCCTTCGATACCATCCAGCGGAAAAACGTCTTCTCATGGAACATCATGGTGTCCGCATTTGCCCACAATGGGTATTTGCAGGAAACTATGGCGGCCTTTGGGAAAATGCCGTCACACAACGTTGTGTCGTGGAATGCAGTGGCGGCAGCGCTGGTTCAGAGTGGGAGCTTGGAAGACGCACGGCAGGTGTTCTTGAGGATGCCCGAGAAAAACCTCGTGTCATGGAATGCTCTTCTTGGTTTATATGCCCAGGCAGGGCATCTGGTGGACGCGAAGCAGATCTTTGATGAGATGCCCCAAAGAGACGTTGTATCATGGAACACCCTTCTGTCAACCTTTGGACACGACAGAAAGCAACATTCTATTGATTCCGCAATGCTCGTGTTTGATCGAATTCCGCAGCACAGCGTCGTAACTTGGAATTCAGTGATTACCGCGAATGCCTTGGCAGGACATCTTGACACTGCCAAAGCTCTGTTTTTTGGAATGCCGGAGAGGGACGCTGTCTCTTGGAACTCCATCGTTTCTGGTTTCGTGCAAGGCGGGCGGATAGCCGACGGCAAGATCATCTTCCAAAGAATGCCATTCCAGGATCTTGTATCACGGAACGCTGTGGCAGCGGCAGATGCCAAGGAAGGGGATCTTTCCGTCGCCTTGCGGCTGTTCGAGCAGACCCGCAGCGCGATCATGGGCACGGCGCTCATCTCCGCCTACACCGCCTCCAATCGCCTCGAGGAAGCGCGCAAGATCTTTGCGATGATCCAAGACCAGGACGTAATCTCCTGGACGAGCATGATCGCGGGCTGCGCAGCGAACCAGCAGCTGGGCGAAGCGAGGCTGCTCTTCGATCGAATACCGCAGCGCGACACCATCTCCTGGACCTCGATGATCGCATCCTACGCCCAGGCCGGGGACCTCCAAGAATCCATGAGCCTCTTCTCGGCGGCGCCCCATCGCGATGGCGTCTCCTACAATGCCATGATCCAGGCCTACGTCGTGAGTGGCAAGCTCAATCAAGCCCGGGCGTTCTTTGAGCAGATGTGCGTGGATGGGCAGCACAATCCCGGATCCTGGAACACGATCATCGCGGCATACTCTCAAATCGGCCAGAGCCAGGAAGCGCTGAGAATCTTTCGCCGAATGGATCTGGAGGGCGTCCCAGCGAACGGCATTACCCTGATTTGCGCACTGGATGCTTGCACCAGCATCGCGGCGCTGGAGCTCGGCAGGATCATCCATGCCCACGCCATTGCCGCGCGGCTCTTCCGCGACGTTGGCGTCGCGACGCAGCTCATCGACATGTACGCGAAATGCGGCAAGCTCCGCGACGCGCGGCGCGTCTTCGATAAAATGGAGGAGCGAAACACACTGACGTGGAACACGGTTATTGCGGCGTACCAAGGCCATGGTCAGAATCCGTGCGACCGTACAGGTCACGTTTTGGGCCTCTTTCTGGCCATGATGAGCGAGGGATTCGAACCCAGCGACGTGACAATGCTTAGCGTGATCTCTGCGTTTAGTCACGCTGGGCTCTTGGAAGAGAGCTCGCATTACTTTGTTTCGAGCTCCTGGGATTTTGGAGTGGTGGTGAAGCTCGATCACTACCAGTGTGTGATTGATCTCTTGAGCCGGCTTGGAGAGCTGGGGACTGGCGAGGAACTCGTCGAGAGAATGCCGTTTGAGCCTGACTTAACTGCGTGGAAAACGCTGTTAAGCGCATGTAGAGTTCATGGAGATTGTGAACGAGCTGCGAGAGCTGCTGTGAATATTTTGGAGCTTGATCTGGACGATGGTTCTATTTATGCACTATTGGCTAACACCTACACATCCGATTTGGAGTTAAAAACTTCAAACCAAACAATGCATTAGATTCCTTGCGGATGACATTTTCAAATATTTCTTCACTCAATCCTCAAATCTCCATCAGACTTGTTCCATAATGCATAAAGAATTAATGTCACTACAATGGATTAATGTAAAATAGAATGTGTGACAAATTAATTTTTTTCTTTTGTGAAGTTTGGTTTGTTTAATAGTAAATGATCTATAATTTATAAACAAAATATTTTCTAATTCAATAAAAAAATCTAACAAGATACCCAATAAATTCATATAAAATTTCAAACTTTATTACATATATAAATTTGATATTTTATAAGTGTGTTTCAATTTGATATAGTGTTACAATATACTCGTGCTATGCAAATCTATTGTTACTCAAATATTACAAAAGAAATATTGAATTTTTCCAAATGAGAAAATATTATTATAAAAGAGGCAGAGTAAAAAAAAAGAGTGATAAAAAATTCTAAATAAAAAATAATTAAAATATATTAAAATGTATAAATTATAAAAAACAAAAAACTTTAGAAACACCTTGTTTCGGGGAGAGATAAGTATTCATATTAGTTTATTAAAAGCTTGGAAAACATTTTATTTTCTGTGAGAAAGGATATTCTCATTATTTTTTTCTTTAAAAAATTTTAAAATTTGAATGAAATATAGATGCAAAATATTAATAAATTAATATTCCTAGCTTTTAACTTTTGGAAGCATTCTCTATACACTCAACAGCATCTACCCAATTAAATCAGGGCATTCTCTAACAACATGTCGCAGCATCTGACATATGCAGCATCTAAGCAAGTTCCCCACTAATCTCCACAATCACACACTCTGTATTTTCTTGGAATTTTTTTCTAAAAGTATAACGTATGGTGAAGTATCTAACTGCGAAGTGATAGCAAAGGAGCTTCTTTCATCGGCGCGCTCGGCAGACATGGCCATCGTACCGTAAAGACGGTGGCGGTGGATCTCGACGATGTTTTCTTTAGCTTTTTATTTGGGCGATCAGACAATAAGGTCGCAGTCGAGAGTACGAAACAAGAATTCAATCTCTTCGGCACGAACGCTTTCTAACTGAGCAGGCTGCCACTTTGGTTTCTGGAAGACAGTATTATAAGCTCAACGGTGAGAAGAGAGTAAATTTACCTGGTCCTTGTCTACTAGAACAGCTCGAACTCCTTCAAAGAAGTCATCTCGAACGGCAATTCGAAGAGCCATACGATACTCCGCTTTCATTACGTCCTCAATCTACCATAATTTCACGAACATTAGATAACGAAAAAAACAAAGCGCAAGCATACCTGTGCGGATGGATTCAAAACCACTGAGGAGAAATGCTTGTGAGTGGCTTCCAGGCTGAATGGTGCGGCCTTTTGAATCCCCGCGAGAGCAGCTTTTGCCCACCCGGCAACTGGAAGAAACAACGTAAAAAAGCTCAGAACAATGCTAAACTTCTAGACCTTTCGCATCCGAAGAGTGTTGCTCTTTCTCCAAAGCCTTTATTGATTCGGAGACCGATTTATCTGGACCGAAAGCTGAGGATATGCGAGGCAACAGCGTCTTGAGCTGGGCAGGAGCTTCAGGTTTACCGCCGAAAACTTTGAGGGCATCTTCCACTGCTTCAGAAGCATTGGACCTTATAGAATCAACGTTAACATAGAACCATCCAAAAAGTGAGAAGCTTCTTACAAGTCCTTCGCCAGGAGAGATTCCTTCAACGATGACAAGTTCTCCGAAGGCACGAAATGCGTTCCCAGTCCCACAAAGAGAGCATCAGCAGGTTCATTGACTCGCGCACCGGATAAACCGAGATAAGTTCCTGCAATCTCAAGCTATTTCACATCCACAAGGAAAACAAAAAGACAAACAATCTTTCTACGAAACTCACCTACAGCTCCATTTGCAGGAGTTCGAGCTGCTATATATGCAAAACCAACGTCTGGAAACAAGCCGATTCCATTCTCAGGCATGGCAAGAACCGTCCTCTGATCACAAAACAAACGCAAAGCTTAGCTTCGAAACGAGCCAAGGTAAAACGCCACAGACCTCGGTAATCACGCGATACTTGCCATGGCCCGACAAGCCGATGCCAAAACCCATGGTTATCCCGTCCATCAACGAGATGTAAGGTTTTTGGTAGCGAGCAATCGTGCAGATTAAGCTGTACTCAGCTGAGAACACCTACATTAGAAAACAACGAGATTTGTCAGCCTCAGAAGTTGATAGTGCATGCATTAGACAAATAGGAATGGAAAAGAAGAAAAAAAAAGAAAGAAAGGAAACAATGCAACCTTGACAGCCAGTTTATGCATCCCAAATAACTTGCAGCCAGTGGTGGTCATCCACTTTACATCTCCTCCTGCATTTACTCTTGTCAAGAAAACAAAATTTAAGCTCTAGACTAGACATGGTGCACGAAAAGCTTTTCCTATGGAAGTCTTTCAAAGCAGGCAGCCTGAGAGACACCCTTGAAATTCAGACCTGTTGCAAGAGAGGTGAATGGATGTCATCTTTTAGAGTCGCTGCGAGCCACTTCACATCCATTCCTGCATGAGGATTAAGTAGTGAAACAGGCAAAAACGAATTCCCTCGTCTAAAGTTCTAACTGAGAAATAAATTTGATCAGGACTTTACCTGCGGAGAATGCGCGCGACGAGCTGCTTTCCACAAGAACGGCCTTCACAGCGGGATTCGCTGCCCATTCGTCAAGATAGTTCTTATACGCCACATCCATGTCTGATCAAGAGATTTCGATGAGAGAGCTGGAGAATGTAGCTCATAAAAACCCAAGAAATTTCTGGAGTACCTAGATTCATCGCGTTGAGAGCCTTGGGCCGATCAAGCGTGAGCACAGCCAGGCCATTCGGCGAGACGCTCCCTCGAACGAACTCCATAGCCTAGCTACAAATCCCAAACCCTGGAATCTAAATTTTGTCTGCCTGCCAAAACATAAAGTAAATGCCCGGGAATATCCCCGATTTTGAAATTTAAAAAGCATGGATTTTGCCGCCGTGGAGCGGCTCATCAGATGCGAGCCACTCCCGCGAGCCCGGGACATCGTCCAGTCCGTACAGAGAAAGAGCCCTACTTCTGGCACATACCTGGCCAATCTCCTGGTCCAGCGGTACGGCCGATGCGGCGACATCGATCAGGCTTTGAAGATCTTCCACTCGATCGAGGCCAAGGACTCCTTCTCATGGAATCTGATGCTAGCGGCGTATGCCCAGAATGGGAGACTCGAGGAGTCCGAGACCTTCTTCTCGGCAATGCCACACAAGGATCTAGTTTCGTGGACGACGATGCTATCGGCCTACTCAAGCGATGGCAAGCTCGACGATGCGCGGTGGATCTTCGATCAGATGCCACACAGAAGCATCGCGTCGTGGAACGCGATGCTTACTGCGTATGCCGCGTCGGGGCATCTGGAGGGTGTTAAGTTGTTCTTTGATTCCATGCAGAAGACCAACATGGTTTCGTGGATCACGCTTCTCAACGCGTACACGAAGCTGGGATCTTTCGATGAAGCTAGAGATATCTTCAACTCCATGCCCGATCGGAGCCTGGCCGCCTGGAACTCGATCCTCACGGCTGCTGCTCACAAGGGGGAATTTGCTGATGCCGAGGAGATTTTTCTAAGACTGCTGCCATGCCGGGACATCAGGTCATGGAACTCGATGCTCGGAGCTGTAGCGAAATCACAAAGTATTGCAAGAACACAGGACTTTTTTCATAGCTCAATGCCGGAGATGAATATAATGTCATGGACTACAATGCTCGCGGCATTGGCCAACAATGGGGATTTCGGTAAGGCTAGCGCTTTTCTTAACTCCATGCCCGTCTCAAACATCGTCTCTTGGAACTCCCTTCTTTGCGCTTCCACAAAAGCTGGAGACTACGTAGGATCAAGTAGAATATTCGATGCAATGCCAGAGCACCACCTTCCCTCGTGCAATGCGGTACTCGAAGCATATTCCCAGCTCGGGTATCCTCATCGTGTTAGACTCTTATTTGATTCTATGCCCGAGCGCGATATGGCGACGTGGACAATAGTATTAACGGCATATTCTCAGCTACGGCATCTTGCCTTGGTAGAAGATGTCTTTAACAATATGCCTTTTCACGACCTTTTTTCGTGGACAGCTATGCTCTCAGCATATTCACTTAACGGGAATCTTTCAAAGTGCGAGAAGTTGTTTCTCTCCATGAAAAACGTTGACTTTGTTTGTGTGAATGCTATGGTCACTGCTTATGCCCGAAACGGACATCTTGAAGAGTGCAAGTCTCTCTTTGATAAAACATCATCATCGAACCTTGTGCTACGGAATTCGATGCTATCAGCCTTTTGCAAAGCTGGTTATATCAACGATGCAAAAACTTTGTTTGACTCAATGCCAGAGAGAGACTTGGTTTCCTGGAATTCCATCCTTGATGTGTATTGTGAAAATGGGGATTTGGAGGAAACAAAGTTCTTGTTTGACCTCATGCCCGAGAAATCAATTGTCTCGTTCAACATCATGTTAGCGGCCTATAGCCAGGGTCAACAGGTGGATTTGGCGAGGACGTTTTTTGAAACAATGCCAGAATGGGATCTTGTGTCTTGGAGCACAATGCTTGCAATGAACACACACAATGGGCGCTTTTCTGAGACAATCAAGTGTTTTGGATCCATGGCACTTGAAGCTGTAGAGGCAGATCTAGTCTCCTTCACATCAGTTCTCCTGGGTTGCAACCATGCAGGAGATCTCAAAACAGGGCTCTTGATATTTTTATCCATGGGATTTGATTATGGTATAGAGAATCCGACTAAGCAGCAGTATGGTTGTGTTATTGACTTGGTGGCAAGAGCTGGGTATTTGGAAGTAGCCGAGAGTTTGATTCTTAGCATGCCTTTTGTTGCTGAAGTTTCAGATTGGATGTGTTTAATCTCGGCTTGTTGCAACCATAATCAAGGTTTTGAGGTTGGTCGTAGGGCTTACAATAAAGCAGCAGCACTGAATACAAAGGCATCTGGGTCATTTGTGTTGATGTCAAATATTTTCTCGTTACAATAACTAATATTTAAACCCACCAACAAAGACTTTAAAAGAGTTTTTTATTTGAGTAGTAAATATTATTGAATAAAGTAAACATATGGTGGCTGGCTCTATCTCAAATTTCCCTTTCACAATTGTAAGTTCATTTTGTTCAGCCGGCTTTGAAGAAGTAACTGATGCATGGCAGTTAAGCACAACTGCGCTTTTGGTGTCCATTTGGCAAAGCTTGTGGCTGGTAAATCATAAATGCTGCATAGATTTGGTGAAGAACAGCAACAGTCTTGGCACAGATCCTTCATACTGGTTGTCAGATTGTCTATTCGATTGCACCCACGCAACGCCTGTCATGGCTGCTGCATAGCCAACCGGACCAATTTGTATCGTGTATCAGCACATATTTGGGATACATGGGTGGAGCCTTCAACATTGCGAGGTAGAGCTGTGGAACTTAACGAGTATCACTAATGTTTCTAGTTGCAAGGAGGGATTTTGCGGCTTCTGGCCTCGTTGGAGCCAGTGGTCTCGGTGGTGGTTGTTCGTGGCCTCTTCCTTTTGGCACCAATGGAGGTTCGTTTCTTTGTCTGTCTTGACAGTCTCGTCAAGACTCACCGATTCGGAAATGAAAACGCAGGCAATACCTTCGATTCTTTTACTACCTCGAGCTTTTGGTAGCGAACAGTGCATTTGTTTCAACTCCAAATTGTAATTATGAGGAAAACCACTTACCTTTGTGTACAGCGTTTAGTGGCATTTTTTTAGAAAAGTGTCCGACAACTCCGACTCTTTTCGAAAGGCAGCAACAGCCGGATTTTCTGAAGATGGCTCAAGCAGCTTTGCAAAAACCAGAACTGGAGGTTGTTGCGGAGGTACGTATGGCTAGGATTCAATTACTACAGAACTTGCAGAAATTTTTTCCAAAGCACCATCAAACTGCATCCCTGTCAAAGCATCTAGAAATCATAAAAATATTTCAGGGATCTTGTCCTATTTAGCTATGGACAGAATATCATGTTACACGTGACAGTGCTCGGTTGTCTTCGACATGACATATTAACAGCTGGGTTTTTTAATTGGTGTGGTCCTAATGGAAAGACGACTTGCTTCTGGCTAAGCATGACTATGATGGGAGATCAGCAGCAAGAATGTTTCTGCTAGCTATTTATCTTCGTTACTCTGAGACTGTGTGATGGTGCGAGAGTAGAGAATGGAGAACGAAGAAGCAAAAATTTCTGGGTCAGTCAAGGCAGTTCCTGGTGGATATGGGCTTCCTTTCTTCGGAGCAATGAGAGATAGGCTCGAATTGTATTGGTTCCAAGGGGATGTTGAATTTTTCAAGAGGCGGATTGAGAAATACAAGAGCACAGTATTCAGGACGAACTTTGCTCCGGGGCCTCCAGGTTATCAGAATCCCAGAGGTGTAGCTTTACTGGATCACAAAAGTTTCCAGGTGATGCTCGACAACAGCAAAGTGGACAAGAGCGACACCTTCTTCGGAACTGCAATGCCGAGTGTTGCATTCACGGGTGGCTATCGCGCTCTGCCATATCTGGACACCACCGAAGAGAAGCATACTTTGTACAAGCGCCTGCTCATCGAGCTACTGCACATGAAGTTCTCAAGTATGGTGACCGAGTATAGCAAGGCTTTCGCTGAAACATCTGCCACATGGGAGTTGGCCGTGGCGAAGTCTGGAAAAGCCGAGGTTGGAGACTCGAGTGGTAGCATGGTGGTGAATGTTCTTCTGAAGAGCATCACTGGGCATCAGGATCCAGCTTCCATCATTGGAAGTGATCCACACTCAACATTCCAGACATGGTCTTTCGTGCAGTTTGCAGGAACCGTTGTTGGCGTGCTTCCGCACTTTGTGGAAGAGCTGACTTACCACTCGTTCTCTCTGCCTTCGATGTTGGTGAAGTCTAAGTACGCTGCTCTGTGCAAGTTCTTCAGGAATTATGCAACCGAAGCTTTAGATCTGGCGGAGAGCAAGTATGGCCTGGACAGAGAAGAGGCTGTGCACCAGCTGGTTTTCTGCTTTGGAGTGAACGCAAGAGTGGGGCTGATGAAGAAAATTCCAGTTATGGTCTACTACATCGCCAAAATGGGTCCTGAATTTCAAGCTAGACTTGCAAACGAGGTACGTTCGGCTATCAGTGAACAGGGAGGCGGTGGTTTCAATGTGAAAGCACTATCAGGCATGCCTCTGCTCAAATCAACAGTTTTAGAGGCTTTCAGGTTGATGCCATCCACATTTTTTGTCTATGCTCGTGCCAGAGAAGATATAGTCGTCGAAAGCCACGATGCTTTGTACAAAGTTGGGAAAGGCGAGCTTCTTGGTGCTCATTGGTACTATGTTTTGAGGGATCCTAAGGTGTTTGAGGATCCGCAGCGGTTCAATCCTGAGAGGTTTATGGGGAAACAAGGAGAGGCTTTGTTTCCGCAGCTGGTCTGGTCGAATGGAAGGCAGGATCAAACACCTGGTGAAAATGATAAGCAGTGTCCTGCTAAAGATTACGCTGTGATGCTCACCAGTCAGTTTGTAGCTGAAATGTTTTTGAAGTATGATGCTTTCGAGATCACTGACGATTCTACGATTGATACAACAAGTCTCAAGGTGGCTTTCAAATCGTTGAAGAAGCGTACACAAATTTCTTCATAAACGTGCTCAATCGATATCCTGGCCAGTGAAATATGAAGCCTGACAGCACGTTGGTTCAATAAACAACTTATCAATCACCTTCAGAGCACTCAACACCTGGCAGAAGTCTAGACAAATGCTTCGGATAGACATCAGCCATACCAAACACTGCAGGATTATTTGAATAATTTTATTGTATAATATCAATATTTAATGAGTAGATTTCTAAATATAGCTTGTAGTTTAGATGCATTATTCTTGAATTAGAAATTATAATAAAAGATGGTAAGAGGGAAACTATAACTATTATATGGCAATCATCCTAGGTGTGCGTGGCGTAGCATAAACTAAATTATACTGCAAGCTAAATCAATCAAAACATATGTCTATTTGAATTGTTTAAACACATATGTGACTCACAAAATAATTTAGACATAATTTTTTTCAAAGCATCGCCATGTTTGCATGGTCTTTTAAACACTAGCGCCATATATGAATTCTACAATTGGTTTGTCACCATGCGGCACCAAGGAATAGACAGGTGGGCGTCAAAGGCAATTGTGTTGATCTCACTCAGTAGCCTCTACTACCACCGCCTTTCTAGAACTCTTGGCGCAATCTCAACAACACCCTTGGGCGAGATCCCTTTACATGTGCCGAAGATCAAGCACCCAGATCCCAGCCACAATCTCCTCCAAAGTGCCACCTTCAATTGTTTTGTGTCTCCATTGCCCGATCTCACCTCAAAGTCTCTCATGGGAAGGATTAATCTTTGAATTTGCCCATCAATCTACAGCCAAGAAAACCATAAAAAAAGTCACAACAAGTGCTTTGCACTTGCCAAGCATGGATTGAATTGAATCACTAAAAAATTTGAACTCATAAAATTAGAATATTCTTAAAGCCTACCTAACTTAAAAATATTTGACTTGAAAGTTTTTAACTGTTGAAAAGAAAAAGAATATCTAGTACCATTCTTCAAGCTTGTTTCTTGATTTTGTGAGGACTGGCAACCGTCTCAGCTCGCTGGCAGGCAGCCATGGTTTTGACATGCTCAAACTCATCGCCCTACACAACATGATCCATCAGCATTTCTACAGCGTAAGCTACCAAACTTACCTTAATTGCTACGAACACATCATAAAGGCTATCCACCTTTGGTCTTCTGCTTTCAGGAGCTCGGCTTGTTTGGAATTCATCGAACCTGCAATGCAAAGATCAGATTCCTATACTAAAAGACGCCTGCATTTTTTACTTACATATATAAGTCTTCGTTCTCGTAGTATGCCACAGCTTCTGGCGATGGAGGGAGTTGTTTGAGGAGTTCCTCATTCTCGTCGAAAAATTGGCCGTAAGTGTCCACTGTTTGTTCGATGAAACACATAAATTGATAGAATCCGTGGAAGATTGATCATTTCATACCTGCATGCATTTCTATTAGCTCTGAGAAATTGTAGGCGACTTTGGGCGAGACGAAAAACATGAAGTTCAGAATCTGCATTTAGATGACAGATATCGATTAGTCTTGCTTGTGAGCCAAAATAAACATACCCAGTAATAAAAGAATGCTGCATGCTGCCCGAAGAATCGATCTCCCCATAGCAAATCTCCTCCAAGAGATTCCATGATTTTTAGATGGTGCATTTCATTCCATTCCTGGCAAACCATCGTAAGTAGAATAGAAGAGAAACTGAAAAAATGTACCTCTGCAAAATGGACTTTCCTTACATCCGCACCTACACGCCACCTACAAAAATAGTGAAGAAGATCAAGTCGCCAGCGGAATAACGCAAGCTCGCGAATACTAACCAGCCAAGAGTTTCGTACAAATGCAGCATAGAAATATATCTGTAAAGTTCGAAGTCAAGGATTCTCGGCCTTCGAAACAAAAGCCTTTAACTCAAGGATACGAAAAGTAAGGCATTCTTGCTACGGTTTCCAGAAACCAGAAGCGTTGAATTGGCCTGCCCTCAAAGATTACATCTAGCATCTGCAATCACGAAATAAGATTAGAAATCAAATGTAATCGTACCAGAGAAAAACTGCGAAGACTACAAGCTCGGAAGCATGCATACCCAACAAAGAGCGTAATACGGACCAAGAATCCACCAGGGAGCCTCAACAGGCGGTCGATTGCGCTCCCTCTCCCAGACGGCGTCTCTGTTCAGTGTTAGCTTCGCGAGAGCTTTTCTGAGATCCTCTTGCTCCGTGTCAAGCTCCTGCATGAAATACAATGAGCTCTAGCAAGCACTCTCACGCTCACTTACCAGGAGCTCTTCTTTCAGCACTGGCAATCCATCGTAAAGTTGGAGTATCTTGTCGAATCCTCTGAAAAAGAGAACAAATCCACGTCCCAAGTAAGCAGCACCAACACCAAGTGGTTTGGAGTCTGAAAAGGCATCGTTAGAACAACCGGAAGCTAAGATTTAGCTACCACCTTCTGAGATTTCAAACTCTCCAAACAGATAGCTTCGTCTCAGCGCCTGGAAGTATAGAACCAACGTGTGAAGGAGGAGGAAACAATGGACAACGGATATAAACCTTCCATTCTCGACCAAAGTTCTCGAATGCGAGCCTGAAAAAACTCCCAGGAACACTGGGACCTTGGCGAAGGAACTTTGCTTGGAAGCCATAGTTGAAAGCAATTCTCTTTGGCTTGTGCGAGTGCGTGATAGATAGATGCTCCTCGATCGCCTCCAACCTGAGCTCGCGGCTGGATTGCGCAATGGAAGACGGCGAATCATTCCCAACGCTTCCTTGAGCCCTCACAAGCAGCAATTGAGCCCTATCGTTGCGGATTTTGGTAGAACCAGGGCAAGCAAGCCGACGGAAACTTACGCGAGCGCTAAAGAAGCTGGAATCGAGGCGCCTTGATCGCCGAGCTGGAGAATGCAAGAATTTTCGATCGCTGGAGCTTGGATCAGTGCTGGCGGCGCAGCTACACAGCGCCATTTTCCCAGAAACAAAGACGAGAAGAATAACGAGTACTCTAGAGCTCTGATACCTTAGAACCACTAGGAGCACGACGGGTGGCTTCATCTCAGCCGTTGATTCTAGGGCTCTAGAGAATATCTTTTTCTTTGGCACCAAGGAAGCCCTTTTTACATCAACGGCTGGGTCCTCTTCAAAACCACTTGGTCATATTCCGTGAATTTCCATCGATCGATCCATCGCGAGAATGCAAAGCGCCAGAGGTGGAATCCTTAGGCTGGTAGTGCGGCGGATCTCTACTCCATCCGCGGCGGCGCCGCTCGCTTCATCGAAGATCGCCGCTGTTCTCCCAGGCAGGGTTTTTCAGTTGTTCGATCTTGGAGGTGGCGCTAGGGATTACGGATCTGTCGCAGCAGCGGTGAAAAGCGAGGAGGCCGAGGCCGATCTCCAATTCCAGGAGCAGCCGCCGGAAAAGAAAGATGAGAAGAAGGACGTGGTGGTCTCCGACTACTGGGGAATCCTCCCCAAGAAGCTCGTCGACGAGCAAGGCAAGCCATGGCCGTGGAATTCCTTCAGGGTAAGCGCGATCGCATTCGTCTTTTTGGAAATTTCTTGCTTCTCACCGAGATTTTCGGCTTCTCTCGCAGCCGACCGAAGCGTATGCTCCAGATTTGACCATCGATCTCAAGAAGCACCACAATCCCGTGTCGGTGGTCGATAAGCTTGCGTACTGGACTGTTAAGACGCTGCGTATTCCAACCGATATCTTCTTCCAGGTATGCTCGCATGGCGAAATTTTTTTTTTCTCTTAGTTGATGGTTTGATCTTTGAATCCAAAGAGGAGGTACGGATGCCGGGCTATGATGCTGGAGACTGTGGCTGGAGTTCCCGGGATGGTGGGTGGCATGCTCTTGCACTGCAAATCCTTGCGCCGATTCGAGCACAGTGGGGGATGGATCAAAGCTCTGCTCGAGGAGGCCGAGAACGAGCGGATGCATCTCATGACTTTCATGGAGGTTGTCCAGCCCAAGTGGTACGAGCGGGCGTTGGTGTTTACGGTCCAGGGGGTGTTCTTCAATGCCTACTTCCTGTGCTACGTGCTTTTCCCTCGATTGGCACACAGGATAGTGGGCTACCTGGAAGAAGAAGCGATCCATTCCTACACGCAGTACCTCAAGGAGATCGACAAGGGAACCATCCCCAACGTTCCCGCTCCCGCCATCGCGATTGACTACTGGCGCCTTCCAAAGGATGCAAAGATGCGTGACGTTGTGGAAGTTGTCCGAGCTGATGAGGCGCACCACCGAGACGTAAATCACTTTGCAGCTGTAAGTTTTGTTCTCCTCTTTGCTTTTTTCTTGGTAACGTGAAGTCTCTTTGTGCAGGATATTCACAAGGCTGGCAAGGAACTGCGCTCGGCCGCTGCTCCTTTGAGCTACCACTGATAAGATCCCTGAGCAAGCATGCAGAAGGAATACGAAGAGTTTACAATAAAAAAGAGGAGGTAAATACATACATGCTGCCTTTCTAACAGGTGGCAAATCTATGTCTTACTTATAGCAGCAGCTTTCTCTTTCGTTAAACTACGTGAAAGCCAAGAACAGTCGATTCGCGTCGAGGGTCAAAACAAAATAAATCCCTCTGCGACGTCGACAAATCTTTGCAATCAATAAGAAGGCTTTTCATGTGGCAAGAAAAACCAGAGGTCACGAAGATTCAAGAGCTCGCGACTTGAGTGGCCTGATCACAGTCTGGTCACGACGGAAGGGTGTCCGTGATTCATCTGAAAGCTCAGTTCTTGTTCGGCTCGGCCACAGTGGTGGCTCTTGTGATCTTGTCCTGGCGCTCTTAAATTAGATTGATCGTCGAGGGGGGCTCAAGAACAGGATCAAACAGAGGGGCACTCTGCGACTTAAGTGAAATCTCAAGGGAGGTTTTTGGCCGGAAAAAAGGTAGTACCAGACTATACAGTGGGGTGGTGGTACTCGAAAGATTCTCGCTTTTTTTCTCTCGCATTTTGGCTGGGTTCTTCCACTAGCGAGAAAGAGCTTAGAAGAAAGTCTGTGGCGTTTTGTGGCGCGCATCTCGGAGAGAAGAGCAGAGCTAAACCAGAAACATACATTGTTCTTCCTAGCTAGCTCGAGCGAAGAACAGGTTTTCGATCGAGTCCCTGCGACTGCGAGAAGTTAACTCTCGGATCCATGGGCGGATTTCCTCTCCGCGGTGCTCTTGTTCTTGGGCTTTGGCTGCTCTTCCTCTCCATCACCGCTCAATGCCAAGCTCCAGCGTCATTTGTTTTTGGGGACTCGCTGGTGGATGGTGGCAACAACAACTATATCTTTTCGCTGTCCAAGGCCGACCAGCCGGCTAATGGCGTCGACTTTCCCGGCGGACGGCCCACTGGGCGATTCTGCAATGGAAGAACCATCCCGGACATCATCGGTACCGAGAAAAAATGGATTTTTTCTGCCTCTTTCTGATTGATTCGTGTGTTTGCCAGGCGAGAGTTTTGGAATTCCATACGCTCCACCGTATCTAGCACCCACAACGCACGGCGCAGCGATCTTAAGGGGGGTGAACTATGCGTCCGGTGGTGGAGGAATCGTGGACGAGACCGGACGGATCTTCGTGAGTGTTTTCAAGTTTTTGTTCCTCCCTCACTTATTTCAATGCTCTTGTGGTCTCAGATTGGGAGATTGTCGCTGTCAAAGCAACTTCTCTACTTCCAAAACACCACGCGCGAGCTCAAATCCATGCTCGGCGAGGACGCTGCCCGCCAGTACCTCGCAAAATCCATTTTTTCCGTCACCATCGGCGCCAATGACTACCTCAACAATTATCTCTTGCCCGTTCCTCTCACCGGGGACTCTTTCCTCACGCCGCGCGCCTTCCAGGACAAGCTCATCACGAACTTCCGGCAGCAACTCACAGTTAAGTCCATGCAAAGTTCTCGTGATCATCTAAAAGTTGCTGCTTTCCAGACGCTTTACAACTCGGGTGCTCGCAAGATCATTGTCGCGGGAGTTGGACCCATCGGCTGCATCCCATATCAGCTCACGCTCAATCTCCGGAGAGATGGGAGTTGCGTTCCGAGTGCCAACAAGCTTGCACTGAACTACAACACGGCCCTGAGAGATCTCATCCTGGAACTCAACTCCAAACTCCCCGGATCGATGTTCTCCTATGCAAACGCTTACGACGTTGTCTGGGATATCATCACCAACAAGAAAAACTACGGTAAATTCTCATTCTTTTCTCGATTCATTCCATAGTTTTTCTCATTCGTTTCTCGATTTAAAGGCTTCGAGACGTGCGATCTAGCTTGCTGCGGGATTGGAGGGCCGTACAAGGGGGTTCTTCCCTGTGGCCCAAACGTGCCCGTGTGCAACGAGAGATCGAAATCCTTCTTCTGGGATGCGTACCACCCCAGCGATGCCGCCAATGCGATTGTGGCCAAGCGCTTCGTCGATGGCGACGAGCGAGACATTTTCCCGCGCAACGTGAGGCAGCTCATTGAAATGTGATTGATTGATCGATCCATCCATTCCATTTTTTTTCATATCTCCACTCACTGATCCTTCAATGCAATCCAGCTCCTCCCATTTATCTATTCCTTCAAAGCTCCTATTTTTATTCTCCAGGAGTCTCTGCGTTTTAAAATTTAAAGTTTCGTTTAGCGCCGCTCGACGTCGTGTGTTCGAATCTAGGGTTTAAGGTTTTGTGCGCGATGGCGATGGCGGAGCTCGATTCTGGCGCTGCCGTTACGTCCTGGAACTACAGCGGTGAAAGAATGGCTGTGGGGTTCACCGATGGCGGCGCCGAGGTGTGGAGCAAGGGATTTGGGAATGGATCGCCTGCATTGTCGTTGGATTTCAAATGGAAGGTGAGTGCGCTTCTTTCGATGCTCTACGTAGGATTTCTTGCTTGTATGAGATGGAAATCTTTCCTTTTCTTTAGTTTCTAGTGTTGCTCGTTCGTCGGGAAGAAGTTTTTTCCAGGATACTTCTTCACAGATACGCGTGTGTCTAGGCTCATGAAGGTTCCTCTATCGTGAAACTTTGCTGGGGACCGATGGAGTTCGGCGACATTGTTGCTTCTTGCTCTACAGATGGTTCGGTTTGCGTCTGGGAAGAAATCAATGGTACGACCTTTTCTTTGCCTCGAGCGCAGCATTCTGACAATAGTTCCTTGTTTTTCCCTACCTTTTCTGAAGAGAATGGCAAGCCCAAGTGGAGGCAGTGTGCTCAGCTAGCTGAAAACAGCTACTGTCTGGATCTAAAGTTTGGAAATTGTCTCGGCGGCTTGAAACTGGTACGTAAGCTATTGGAAGTCCTTTTAGTTTTCTTTTCTGATTAGTTTTGACACAGGTTACAGCTTGTGCTGATGGTTATGCCAGGATTTACGAAACCTCGGACTGCATTGATCTTTCAAAGTGGCAGCTTCAGGTAGGCCAAGTTCTTGATTTTTCTTTCTTTTCTTTTCTCTCTAAGTTTCGGATAAAATACAGGCGGTGGTTTCGAACGCAACAGATGTGACTGAGAAGACTGGGAAGTGCTCCTGCTCTGGAGCTTCCATCTCATGGAAGCCTCCGGCTGGTTCCATCCAGCAGCCACTTTTCGCACTTGGCTACTCCACAGACGTCTCAGGATTCTCCACAACGAAGGTATAACACTGCAAGATAGTTCTCAAGCTTTGGTACTTTCACAGATCTGGGAATTCGCTGAAGAGCATAGACGCTGGTATCCAATTGCCCAGCTCTCAAATGCGGACGACGGCGTTGGAGTAAGCTCCATATCGTGGGCTCCAAATCTCGGAAGGTAACTAGCTACAAGCTTTCTATCCTTGTCATTTCTGATGTACGTCCGCTCCAGGCCGAATGAGTTGATAGCAGTGGCTTCCGGAAGCACTGTCTCAATCTGGGACTTGGAAATCGGTGGAAAGCAGGGGGTTTCCGTGCAGAGAATCGCAGAGCTAGAGCATAGCGCAGAGGTGAGCATCCAAAGCTTTAAAAAAGTGTTTTTTTCCAAGAAAAATCTATTTATTTCAGGTGTGGCAAATCGATTGGGACATGAGCGGCATGACATTGGCATCGTCTTCCTCGGATGGAACCGTGAGGCTGTGGCAAGCTGGTTTAGATGGAGCGTGGAGGCAGCAAGCTTCACTAAGAGCTTGATAAGGCTCGTCCTCGGACAAGATTCTGGAACCAACGGCCAGGATGAGACGTGTATTCCGTTCCATAATTCACGGGCAATCTGGGTCGTTGGATCCTCTCATTTTGTCGGCCTGACGCCCATTATGAAGTGAGAGCAAAGCAAGCCCTTGGCCTGGTCGGGGAGAGACGGCGGAGGCGACGACGGCAATGGTGAGTGGAGTGTGTCTCGAATCGAGTTTCTAGGGTTTATGATCTCGTTTTGCTCTTGTCTAGGGGGACGATCGCAGGCGCAGCAGGTAAATGTTTGCTCTGACGGCCTTTAGGTGTGCTCATTGCTGCGATTTCCAGATATTCGCAGTCCCCATCGCCGAGGCGAGGTCCATCACGGAGCCCTCCACCGCTAAAATCACCTCTCAAGTATGTTCTTGCTGTTTTTGGTGGAGATTTCGAGCTCAAAGAGTCGGTTTTTCCAGGGAGGATCCTGACAATCCGGGAAATAACCTCTATGTCACTGGCCTCTCGACGCGGGTCGCGGAGAAGCAGCTCTTGGAGCATCTCTCGCGAGAGGGGAAGGTATTCCTCCTTAAAGTTTGGGTTTGTTCTTTGCTGTTCTTGGCTTAAACCTTGTTCTACAGGTCCTGGAGTGTCGGATCGTGGTGGATCCGAGGACCAAGGAGTCCAGAGGGTTTGGATTTGTGACAATGGCCAGTACGGAGGATGCGGAGCGCTGCATCAACTATATGAATCGCTCCACGCTCGAGGGCCGTATAATCACGATAGAGAAGGTAAGTATCCTCTCTAAGTCTTCCTATACAAGTTTCTTCTTTTTGTTTTTTCGATTCTTTGCTACGCATGGAGTGCTGCAGCTAGAGCAAACGATGCTAATCTGGTTGCTGGTCATCCAGATTTTTCAGTTTTTTACTTCTCGGGCGGCTCTTTTTCAAGCAGCCACTTTGACTTCAGACAAATGAGCGAGCTGTGCGCTGGGCTCTGCTTCATCGGTCTTTGCCTTCTCCAGAAAAACATCAAGCATCAATCAGTCTCTCCTGATCCAACCAGTCTGCTTCAAACACCAAAAAAAAAGTCTGCTCCAAATCTCAATTCAGAAGCCCCACCTTAGCAGCATTCCCAGTTGCGAGCTGTGCGAACTTTGATGAGATGCGGTCAGTGCAGCAGTTATCAAAAATCCGAGCGTTAGAAACCAGTGACCCTCCCTTTCAAATCATGCTCCACTGGAAGTCTTTGAGGTTCTTTTCTCTGACTTGAGTTTTTTGCATTACCTACAGGAAGCGCTTTGCCATCAGCTTTTACATTTTCCATTTGGTACTGATTGCTTTCTTTGATGCAGGCTAGGCGCAAGAGACCACGAACTCCTACACCTGGAGAATACCTGGGTGTCCGAGGCAAGTTTCTCATTCTTTTTTCAGAAAAGAACGATTTGGTTCTAATGTTTCTTCTGGTTTCATCACAGCTCCTCCAAGATCTCGGCCACCAGGTTACGGTCCACGACATCGCGAGAGAGACCGAGACAGGGACTACAGGGACTACTCCCGTAGATCACCCCGCTACTCTCCATACAGGGGTGATAGCCGCGACAGATCTCCACACGGCCGGAGCTACCGCAGGGAGCGATCCCGTTCGCCTTACTACTACCGCAGGGAACGCTCTCGCTCGCCTTACCACATGTACCGACGCTGACCACCACAAGGTTTGCTGTGACATTCTCTATTCCATTCAAAATCCAACTGACTGACGCTCTGGAACAGGCTTCTCTTCATTTACCTGGACACTGCTACTCTCATCCCACACTCTCAAGTTTGTACTCAAAAGAAAAAGGACATTTTTACATTACCAAATGGTGGTGGTCGAGTTTTTCTCCTCAAGGAGGTGCTGTAAGTGCCGCTGTTTGGTTGCTACTAACCGGTGGTGGCACTGAAGCTTTGTCCGGGACAGTGGCAGCCGAGGCCTCCGCTTGTTGCTGCTTGAGCTTGTATCGCGGGGCGAATCCTCGCTTGGAGTAAGGCGTGGTTTTCACGCACTCGAAGTAGGCCGCCGCGAACTGGGTGATCTCGCAGGATTCACGCGAGTAATTGAAGAGCTTCTTGGGTTTCACCTGAATCGGCGGAAGAACACACGAAGAGAGTGAAGGGATGGATCCAGATCTTTCGTACCAGAGGTTGCGAGCACCAGCCATACTCTTGCGACGCGGTCATGGGGACTTCGTACTTCTCCGGTGGTGGCATGTCGAGGTCCTGGATTGGGAAGCACGCGCCGAGAAACTTTTGCGCCTCCTCAAACTCCTGTTTGGTCACTGCAGTCTCGTATGGTAAATGTTTCTCGAGGAAGCCAGCGATGGAAGATACCTTTCCTCGACGACGTGACTTGGGTGGGCTTCTTGGTGAGCACTTCGGCTGTTTCAAAGTGAAATATTTTGCCAAGCAAGGATCAAACGGATGGAAAAGAGGAAAAAATGCATTTTTTTGCTTGTTTTGGGCAGTTTTTTTCGGCGTTGTGAGAATGTTGGAAGCGAATGAACGAGGCGAGCAAGCGAACCTGTGAGTGGATTCAGTCGGTACTCGGCAGCTTGCACCTCGACGGCCTCGAGCTTCGAATTCATGCTTTTGTAGAGATTGTCGAGAGCTACCATGTCGTCCACGGCTGGGAATCTTTGTGGGCGGTGCTGCTGCCCGCGGGCTTTAGCTGGGGACGAGGAGGGGGAGGAATGCTGCTGCTTGGAGGAAGCCATGGGAGCAATCGATTGGATGATGATGCACATTCTTTTCCCCTTTAACCCGATCCGAGTTTTTAGGGCTGCTCCTGGCTTAACCGTCCGAGGTGGAGCGGGAATATGCCATTTTGGTTTGGCGGGATAAGATTTTCGAAACTTTTTATTAGGCGAGAATCATGCACCGTCTCTAAGGACAGACATTTCGACGAAGCCCAATAAGTCTTCCACGCCATGATCCTGCAGAACCAGCAGCCCTCGCGCACCAAGCTCGTCTCTGACACTATGGAGAGGAGAAACTCCTCGATGCTAACGCTCTGGCCCCCTGGAGAGCTGCTTCTTGAGGCTGACCATCTCTGCACTCCGGATTATGCGTCGGATTTCCACCATAGCAGCGACTTGGAAAGAGGAAGCTAGATTATGGAGTTTAGTTAAACTAGACTACACCAACACAGGAACGTTTGTGCCTACTCTCAGGAAGAATGAAGGATCTTTGGTAAAAGCTGTCTCAAATAAGCAAATTTAAGCCTGTTCACAAACTCAAATGCCTGGCATCACATCAGGTTCATCTGGGACTTGATCCTGGTTATGCTAATGTTTGCATATATCCTGACCTGGTGGTTTGTATTCCTACAGTTTTGCTTTGGAATTTTAATAACACAATTTCTTTTTGTGCATTTGATTTGCATGTGGAAAATAAAGACTTTACAAAGAAACTATTGAAGTTAGTATTCATTTATGCTTGTTATGTTTACCTTGAATTGGAATGGAGTGGAGATTGTTAAATAGTATATGTATGTTTACTGTTTCGTGTGATTTAATGAAGATTCTTTGAAGTTCTTATGTATTGACTTGATATTTAATTTTTAACATGCTTTATTCACATTATTGTACTCAATTTCATAATAACCAGGTTTTATACTATTTTGAAAACCATGATTAATGATTATTACGTAAGAAGGATGTTTAGACAAATTATGATAAATAAAATATTCACATTTCACATTACTTTCTTTCTAGATATACATTTATAAAATTGCATCTATATTATCTAAATGTCAATCCCAAGTACAAAGAAAGAAAGATACTAATTTAATAAAACAATCATTTTCTAAATTATCATGATTCTCTTCACTTAATTATATATAAAATTTATGACAAGCAATTAATTTTCAGATATTTATACATATTTGATATAATACACTTGATGGGTAATAAAAAATTCAAATGATTACAAAATAAAAAAAATGAAAAAAAATATTTTAATAATGAATTCAAAAATATAATAAATTTAATGTTAAATTAAAATATAAATCAATACATTTTAAATTCTAATTCTTGACACTTCATTATTTCTAAAGTTTAAAATAACTTGAAACTTGAACTAATAAATATTTCATACAAGTAAATTAAATATATTTTATTACAGTTGTGCTAATCAATACAATAAAACTATAATGACATATTAATTAAAAATTATAAATGATATAAATATTTGTAAATATTTTATAATCAATACTTTTATATATTAGACTAAGAAAATTATAAATATTATAATATATCACAAAAAAATATTTCCTAAACTATTTAATGATAAATGAGACTATTGTCTTTTACATTTTATTTGTGGTATATACATCATTGAAAACAACTTACTTAGATTTATTAAAATTTAATTAATTAAAATATGTATATATTATGAATAAATAATAATTTAGATTTTGAGTATGGTTTTCAATATTTTTAAAAAGACATAGATATAGTTTTTAAAATTTTTAATTTAAAATAACTATTTTAAATTATTGATTTTATCAAGTTTTGAAATTACCCAGAAACATTAATATTATTTCCTTAAAAATAAAAATTTATAAAATTAAAAGTTTAAAAATTAAATGAGTTTATATCTCATATCACTTGCTATATCTTTGTTAAAATACTCAATTTTTATTATCATTAAATTGATGTCCCTTAGCTGGAATTTCTAATATATTTTCTTGATATACTTCTTTTGAGACATCTTTAATATTCAGTTCCTTTTATTTATAAATATTTGAATGTTAAAATAGTCTAGAAAATCTTAAACTTAACTTATTAATAAATATGTAAAGTTTTTTCATATTTCATATGTAACAAAATACATAATTAGAAAGAAAAAATGAATCTTTAGAAAAATAGAATGAATAAAAGAATGTGAGGATAAATCAATAAAGGTTAATACACTAACAAGTGAAATACTTATAAATATGTAATTATAATGGTTTATTATATATTTTATATAGTTATATATTTTTATATATTTAAACTATAGTTTACCTGTATAGTCTGCTTTAGATATTAATGAACTAATTAATAAGTGTTCAACCTTCACAATATGTTATTTGATTTTGATATTATGGATTTTTATTTTTTCAACATTTAATATTTTTTAATGTGTTTTTATTTTATGAAAGTGTTTTTTTATTATTTTATGTAAAATTAACTTAGTGTTTTTTATTGCACCATATATAAAGTTACACTTTTTATAGTTTTGTTCCCCTGAATAACTTTGATGTTAATTTTTATATTGTAATTCTTGATAAAAAATTAAGATTATTTTTTAGTTTTAAGTGAAAAGTTTCATTTAATGTCAGTTAGGTGTTAATTATATTTCTTGAGAAATATACTTTAGACTTTAATTTCTAATTATACAACTTAAAATTTAAAATATTTATTTATTTACCTTGTCTATGTGCAATATTACTTTTGCTAAATGCTTAGAAATACAGCTAGATGCTAAATAATTATAGCTCATGTAATATCATCAAATTATTATAAAGTAATTTGATTTTTCTAAATAAATTTATTTAATTTATCAGAGAAAATCTAGCCTTTTTTAAGAGAGATTAGGAAACTAGGTGTCAAACATAATTTTAATCAACATCTTTCCTCTGAAAGAATGCTCCTTGTCTAAAACAATTAAACAGACTCTTCAGCTAATTTCTAAAATTGTTTGGAATTAAAATATAGAGATTTCTAGCAAATTTTAGGGTTGGCATCTTCCTCTTTTTCCACTTATAAACTCCCAACTTTGTTGCGGGTTGCTTGTGAATAACAAGCTTGGGCAGGTCGAGATCTTGTCAGTATCTTCCAAAGCTCCAAAATGTACTTACAGTCACTATGCTTTAAGACCACCCATACATTGAGAGCTTTCCAGGCTTCAGAATCTCTGACAATTCCTACATTGCCTCCCAAGTCCCTGGTTAGTCTCAGGCTTCAAAGCAACAAGGGACCTACTCAAGCTCATTTAAATGAATGAGTCGAATCTGGACGCCATTGTTTGACCTTTGTAGAGATTGTTTGAGAGCTACCACGTCGTCCACGATTGGGAATCTTTGTAGCTGGGGACGAGGAGGCGGAGGAATGGTACCAGTCGATATATGGTTTGGCGGGATAAGACTTTCGAAACGTTTTAGTGCACCGAATATACCTACGTGAGGATGAGAAATGGAGAGGGGGAAATGCCTGGAGCTCATCGAGAATTGCAAGGGCCTGGCGATGGCACGGGAGATCCACGCGGGTATTCCAGGTAGCGCGCTCGCCACTGATGTCTATCTCTCGAACAAGCTGATTGAAATGTTTGGGAAATGCGGCGCCGTGGGTGCCGCGCAGGACATCTTCGAGGCGATGGGCAGCGGCGGCAGGGATTTGTTCTCGTGGGAGCTCATGCTCCACGCCTGCTCCAGGAATGGATTGCTCCGCCAGGCGCAGGGATTGCTGGACCAGATGCCCCATCGGCGTCTCATGTGCTGGAATTCGCTGCTCGGATCGCTGGCTCGCGATCGGAGGCCCCAAGAGGCAGCTCTTCTCTTCTGCACCATGCCGGAATGGGACCAGCTCTCCCTGAATTCTATCCTCTCGGCGTATGCCCAGAGTGGGCTTCTTGAGAGATCAAAGCTCTTCTTTGATCGGATGCCCCAGCGCGATGTTGTCTCGTCCAATGCGATGCTCACTGCCTACATCGTCCGAAACCATCTTGAGGAAGCTACCGCATTCTACGATGCTATGCCCGAAAGAACTCTAGTCTCCTCGACTGCTGTTCTTCAGGCGTATGCCCAGGGTGGGCATCTTGAGCAAGCAAAGAGAGTGTTTGAGGAGGTTCCAGAGATGGATGTCGTGTGCTCAACCGCGATGCTGGCCATATTCTCCGAGAATGGAATCGTGAGCGAGGCAAGAAGGATCTTCCACTCCATGCCACAGAAAAATCTAGTCTGCTGGAATGCGATGCTCTCCGCCTACGCTCAAAACGGCCAAATCTCGGAGGCCAGGAGAACTCTTGAATTTGACATGCCACAGCACAACTTGGTGTCCTGGAACACGATGCTCGACGCTCTCGTGCAGCACGGAAAGCTGGAAGAAGCAAAGAGAGTGTTCGAGACAATGCCGGCGAGAAGCATCATCTCCTCGACGTCGATGGTGGCGGCGTATGCCCTGGAAGGGCATATCGACGAAGCCCAGCAAGTCTTCCACACCATGCCCGAATGGGACGTGATATCCTTAAACACCATGATCGCGGGCTTCTCGCAGAACAAGCAGCTCTCGCGTGCCAAGCTCGCCTTCGACACCATGGACGAGAGAAACTCCTCGTCCTGGGACGCCATGCTAGCTGCGTACGCTCAAAACGGGCATGCCGGGACCGCGGAGATCTTCTTCTCGAGGCTCCCGAGCCTGACCATCTTCTCCTGGAGCGCACTGCTTGCCGGATATGCGCAGGACGGCAAATCCTCCATGGAAGCTCTCCTCCAGGCCTTCCATTCCGCGAGCCTTGTCATCGACATGCCCGATCCGACTTGCGTGGTTCTGGTTCTCACGGCGTGCAGCCGCACGGGCCAAGTTAGCCTGTGTCGGAGCTGGTTTGCTTCTGCGAGCTTGGATTTCCACCATAGCTCCACCCTGCAACACTATTGCTGCATGGTAGACGTGCTGGGGCGATCGGGGCGTTTGGAGGACGCGGAGGAGCTCGTCAAAGCCATGCCGTTCGTTCCTGATGCTCTAGCATGGACTACGCTACTTGGAGCTTGTAAATACCACAAGGATTTGGAAAGAGGGAGCCGGATTTTGGAGAGCGTGGTTAAACTAGACTACGCCAACGCAGGAGCGTTTGTGACACTGGCCAACATCTTCACTCTGAGGAAGAACGAACGATCAAAATAGAGCGTTCGCATGCAACTAGGCAGGACTGTAAATGTCTCGCAAGAGTTCAGCCTGGGTTCTTGAGGGCTGCAAAATTTCTTGCCTCCTAAAATTCAAAACCGCGGCCCACACGAGGCGCTACAGCCAGCGCCACTATTGTTCTAATTCGCACCACCTCGGAAGAAGAATACAGTGGTAAACACTTCAACCTAAGGGTCAAGTGGAACAATGTTGTTCGCTGTCGACAAGGGAAAATCATGATTTTGAGACGGTACAAGTATTCTCATGTTGACAAGATCGACAAGAACACTCGCCACTCTCGTCCCAGAGCCTGTTGGAAGCTGCCATAGCTAGAGGGACCAAGAGTGAGTTGTGCATTGCATCCATGTAGCCCATGCTTCATAGTTGGCACAAGTGGACTGAAGACAAATCATATGTATAAGGTAAGTGTAAGGTAAACTTAGTGGTCCTTACATTTACCTCTGAGGTAAGGTGAAAAATTTCACCATTTTACTTTACATTCACCCAGTTTTATATATATATATATATATAGTGCCCAACTAAAAAGCATAAAATCCTATTTACATGGATGCAATGAATGATTCCTATCCCTTTGGTCCTTGTTGGAAGCTATGGTAGCACAAATATCACAGGTTGGATTTGCAGAGCGTTGATAACTTACCTCAGAGGTAAATGTAAAATCTATTACAAGTAATCTTGGCATGCAATGTATTATTACCTCCTCACCATTTCACCATTTTACTTTACATTACCTCCTCAAGATTATTATAATACATGTTATGACAGCTTCCAAACATCACTAGTTGGATTTGTAGAGCTTTGACAACTTCAAGCCTTTTGTAAGTGTATACTCTCGTAAAATATAAGGTGTGAGAGAAGGCTTGAAGTTATCAACCCATGATGTTTGTTGGAAGCATAGCATGTGCTGCAAGTACTCTTGAGGCTTAAGTGCACGCAATGTATTAGACTTTTGGATTTGGACAACACTAATTTATATTTGATTTATATCCGGAAATGGCATTTCAAAACAGAAATCAAGTCAGCGCTACAATGTAATCAAGATTAAGCTGCAAGATCTTTAAAACAGCGTCGCTTGAAGACTGCAAGCTATGCGGAAAGCTATAAGGATTAAGCTCCAAGTTCAAGCTATGGCGTTTCATTGCTCGATATTTCCGTTTCTCCTTTTATCTTTTCTCTCGATCCCAGCTCAATCATTCTCACTCAACACTTCAGATTACATGTACACTCACGATTGTCATGACTTGACAGCAGGTCGCACTCTCCTTCAAACTAGAGCTGGAGTTCCAGGCATGGATGTAAGTAGCCACCAAGGTAATGTTAACTGGCGGACTGCCTACAACAATGGTGCAAGGTTCGCATACATCAAGGCCACCGAAGGAACGGGATACACAAACCCATATTTTTCACAGCAGTATGTTGGTTCTTACCGCACAGGTTTCATCCGTGGAGCATATCACTTTGGCCGTCCGGACATATCGAATGGTGCTACTCAGGCGACGTACTTCCTCAAAAACGGAGGTCGGTGGTCTTCCGATGGGCGAACACTTCCTGGAGCTTTGGATATTGAGTACAATCCATCTTGTGGAAGCTCTTGTACTCCAGCGCAAAAATGTTACAACCTTAGGAAGCAAGAGTTGGGGAAGTGGATCCAGGACTTTGTGAACACTTACAGGAAAGGAACTGGAGTTTATCCAGTGATTTACAGCACTGCGGACTGGTATAACACATGCGTAGGGACTTATGGGGACTTTAGCAGTGTCTGCCCATTTTGGCTCGCTTGTTATTGTCCCAGGGTGACCACTTATCCTTACAACTGGAAAGTGTATACGTTTTGGCAGTATGCCGACTCGGGAACGTTTCCTGGCGATCAGAACGTGTTTAATGGGCCTTACTCTCAACTGCAGAAGCTTGCCAAAGGCTGATAATGTTGGATTGAAGTGCCCAGCTAGGATGATTACCTCGCGCAGACGCAGGGCGAACAGGGACGCGTTGTGATCTGGAGGGTTGTATCCCGTTGCACTTCCGCATTTTGTATATAGATACCCTCGTAAAGAAATAAGGCCTTATTTTAATACCATGCCAGTGTAAAGATGGATGTGCAACAAAAGGAAAACAAAGAGACTGTTTCCACCTTACTGCTTGTTTGGTGACTCTCTAGCAGTGCAAAACCATCTACTAAAGATTGAGAAGGTGATTCCATTTGGCGGTGGAGCTTCACGACAACCAGTGGTTCCACCCATGGATGGATTTTATGATCTACCAAGGGGCCGTTTTCGTCGCCGCATTTCCATCGCCCATGGAAATGCGGGACAATGGGGAGAAGAGTGTTGGAGCGGTGGCCTTTGGGCTGGACAATCTCGACGAAGGAGGAGTTCTCGGCCCGATCCGTCTTAAAGTGTTTGTGGACGCTTTTCACAAAATACCAAAGCAACTTCTCCACTTCCAAAACACCATGCACGAGCTCAAATCCATGCTCGCGAGGACGCTGCCCGCCACTACCTCGTAAAATCCATTTTTTCCGGCAGCAACTCACAGTTAAGTCCATGCAACGTTCTCGTGACCATCTAAAAGTTGCTGCTTTCCAGACGCTTTACAACGCGGGCGCTCGCAAGATCATTGTCGCGGGAGTTGGACCCATCGGCTGCATCCCATATCAGCTCACGCTCAATCTCCGGAGAGATGGGAGCTGTGTTCTGAGTCCCAACAAGCTTGCACTGGACTATAATTCGGCTCTGAGAGATCTCATCCTGGAACTCAGCTATTGATTCCATGGTTTTCTTCATTTTTCTCGATTGATTCCATGGTTTTCTTGTTGGCTTCGAGATGAGCGATCTAGTTTGCTGCGGGATCCGAGGTCCGTACTTCCCTTTGGCCCGCACATGCCCATGATCCGTACCACCCCAGCGTGCGATTGTGGCCAAGCGCTTCGTCAATGGCGACGAACGAGACATCAACTTGGCAATCCCTTATGCCCGCATCCAAATCCCTCGGACATAATTGGGTATCTTCGCGCATCTCCGTGCCACTTGTCTGATTAATCTTCTGCTCTATATCCCTCGGTAAAATCCCAACTGTTACCCGACTTTCGGCAGCACAAACTGGCTCGTGGGCACTAGCAACAATCGGACCCCAGGAGATCAAGATCCTCAGCACGTTGATCGACACCTGGAGCAGTCTGTACCTTTCCTGAAAAGCCACAAGAGAACCAAAACCTACTCACAGTCACATCCATACCAATGATCCACTCCATCGGTCCGTAAAACCGGAAATCTCTCTATCTTGGAGTAGAAATCCCACCAAGCATCAACCATCTCAATCTTCTCATGCTTGTTCTCAACCTCAAAAGCCAGCACCCGGTTGTAAACCCATAGCTGAAGAGCCGGCATCTTTGGCTTGGCCATCAATCCATAGCATGAAAGTTATGCTGGATATCTCATTGTCGTCGGCTGTGTAGAAGAGAGCCCTCGCTTGCTCCTCTAGTTCTTGGTGTGCTAGGTAACTCATTCACCTAAGCTCAACAGGACCTGGCATTTGTATTGACGTAGTAAGATCGTCGAGCACATCTTCATAGCACGGATCACCTCCCAGGCACAAGAACGCAGACGCCATCTGGTTGGGCTCCAGCGCCAGGCCTTTGAGCCTCGTCGCCATTGCGGTCTTTGGAGAATGGCCACAAAGTATTCTCATACAACTTGCAAATGGTTTTGAGCACAACATAGGCCTTGTTGCATTGGATGTGTGATCTTCTAGCAAAAAGTCAATAAAAGTCAATAAAGGTCAATTGACATCCATTGACTAATAAAGTGTAAGAATGAGGTTCTCAAGCTCAAGAAGCAACACAGAAGGTAGGAGTGCTAGCAATGCTATACCAACATATGTACTTGGGCAAGAATGTTATATTTGCCACCATTGTCTCAATCAGGTTTATATCTCTCCTTTTGCAGGGATGTATATTGCCCTCAACTCAACTTTATCATATGACTATCCTAGTCCACTAAGATCACATTGTTCCTACAATCTTTTATGGGGCTAGATTCCAAGCTTTTTGGGCTTTGAAACATTTTTATTATTATTTTGTCGTGAATGTGATTGTGGGTATTAAAAGTTATTTGTCAAAAAATCCTTTTAGATATTTTTTCCTTACGATCACAATGGCAGAAGATTGGTATTGTTGATTTTTTTTTCAATCCCTTTTGTTCAATAGTAAACTACTCTTAGTATTTGTATTTAACTAGATAAATATAAAGTAGGAACTCCTATGTGTTTTTTGTTGAGCATATTCTATTTGACTCTTAGTTTTATTTTACTCTCTCTTACATTTGCTTGACAAGAACTTTTACAATATTGAGTGTAGTTTTTTAATATTTGTTAAATGATAGTTTACCACCAAAACACCTTTGCTATCATGCCCTATGTATTGGTTCTATTCGATCCTAATAGCTATTTATGGAAAGTGTCTAGATCTACTAGTTAGGCATATTTATGAAACTGTATTAAATTATTGTGATTTTTAATATCATATACTGGTGATTGTGAGCAATGTGTTTATAAAGTTATTTGGTCAAATAATAATCAACCCCAAAGTGGTTAATAGTGAAATTAGTCTATTTGCATGTAGTAGCGTTGTAGTAAGTTTGACTAAATTCTTTAAAATGATTCATTATACTAAATTTATGTTGATATTTTGGTTCTTTAAGTTTATTTGTTTGCTATAAGTTATTGGTGAATTCATTGGTACTTGGTGGATGGAGAAAATGTATGATTGAGATATTAACATTGTGTTAGTGGAAATAACATTATTACAATGAGTGATGAGAAGTTCTCTTAAAAGGTTGATTTTTTATGTTATTTTTATTGTTAGTGTTTTGGCTTCATGTTAAATATTGAAGGTGATTGAAGAAAAGTATTAGTGTAATATAAATATCCAAAAAAATTATCTCTATAATCAAGTTTTGGGTATTTATCTTCATATTTTACGAATATTGATGTTTGCATTGTTAAATTAAGAGTCAGTCATTCCTTTTTTAAGATGGAAAATTTTCCACAATTTTTCTTGGGTTTTTTCAATGTCTAGTCTATTAATCATTTTGCCCAAAAACCATTTTATTATCAAAAACCATAACAAACTAGTGAAGGGGTTGAAATTAACTTCAGTTAGTTTAGATCTTAGTAAGTAATTTGCACAATACGGCTAAAAGGGGATGCTGACTTTTGGGGCTAAGACAATTAAGTTGGATAGAGTCTAGAGTTGGCATGGAAATGTGGCTATTACGCTTTTCTAGAAAGGTGAACCTTATGCTTTTTTTAAAAAACTATCATATTTAGTGGCATATTACACTGTGGATTTTATTAGATTTTATAAAAGTAGTGAGCTCTCATTCATATTGAGTTAACCATTAGTTTTGACTGAGTATTGATAATTCATAGCTAGCTTATTGAGCTCTTTAATTATGCTATTAGCTAGACATGTTGATGGGATTATTGCTGTATAATTAGATTTAAGTAGTCATTTTATTTATACTTATCCATATTCCTATATGTTGTACCTAGAATGTGTAAGCTCCTAAATTTGGAATTCATATTTAAACCCAAGGATATTTAACCCTAAATATCCCAATATCATTAATTAGTTAGAAAAAAAATGTGCACTCTTGTTTATAAGCCTTTTCCCTATATATTTGGATTCTCATTCTCTTTAATTATTTATAATCTACTATGCTTCCTTACAAATTCATGCTCTCGTGAATAAAAGTTTAGAGCCGTAACCCTTTTGAAAGCTTTGCTCTCTTGACACCCTACCCTTAAGTTGAGCCCAGCTAGAGGAAATTGAATTGTTAGATGTGAATCTTAATATATAGTATAATTCTCTTAACCAACCAATAAAATTATATTTGAGACCCCCTTTAATACTAAATGTAAAATCCTAAATTTAGACTTTCCAGGAGAGTATTATTCAAACCCAAGGATGAAATATTTATAAGCAACCAAAGAAAATGACTCAAGAAACGATATATAAAGATGATTTAAATGACTTCTTAGAAAGTCTAAATTCAAAAGTTTACAATATCCTAATACTCTTAATCAATTGAAAAAATGGGTGCACTCTTGTTCATAAACATTTTTTCTTTACATTTAAACCTTTATGGATCATTTTTCAAATTATTTTTGGTGATTTATAAAGTGTTTCTTTCCATTAGACAAATACATGCCATAATAATGTAAGTTTAGTGTTTGGGTTTTATGAAGATAAATTGAAAAATGGTTTTTTAGCACTTTGTAACTAATGATTGCTTGTAAATTTTGTTAAAGGTTATTTATACTTGTTTCACTCGATGATGATTTAGTAATGATAAGCTTATTTACCGAATAGTATTGAGGAGGATCATATTATTTGGCTTCTATAATTTTTCCATGTTAACATATCAATTTCACCTCTCTTAGTATTGTTTAGTTGTGTTTAGTCAATAGTGTTAGATTGTATTGAATTTTAAATATGGTGAATCATTCCTTGATGACATATTATTTATAGCTGAGTATTGTTAAAAAATTGGTCTCAAATACTAGGTAAGGTATGTTCAACTTTAAATTACTAAAAAACAGTAAAAAGTGACTTGCTTTTGTTTTCTTTTAATTTTGTTATGATATTAATGATGTTGAAGTGATGCCTTAACATTGATATTATTGATGTTAAGATTAGAGTGAGATGAAATGTTTCTTTATAAGCATACTGAAGAAGTTAGATTTTTAATTTGTGGTGATATAAATAATTAATGATTAATTGGGCTTATTGGAAATTAACATTTTACTTCACTATAACTATACCTTTTATGTCATTTTGCACAGCCAACATTACCACAACGTTTGCATTTCAATGGATTTTCCACCTAGAAGAATCATCCACAAGCCTGGCTATGGAGTGCCGTACAAGGGGACTCTTCCCTGTGGCCCAAACGTGCCCGTGTGACACCTGGAGCAGTCGGTACCTTTCGTATAAAGACACAAGAGAACAAAAACCCCCTGTCAAGGTCAAACGTGCCAACCCGATACATTGGTCCGCAGAGGCCATACCAATGATCC